AACAATAACACCCACCTTGATTAAAATAACAAATTGATTTATAATGTTATTGAAATTATGGAATAAAAACGCATTAAACGATACTATCAACAATCAACCAACATCTATTACATTCGCCTGTCTTTTCCTTCACTTGATTTCATTCATTGATTGTTAAAATGTTTTCGTGAATTGACTTTTCCTTGGCTAATTGTCTTCTTCCTCGAAGGCGTGTATTATTAACATGTATTAGATTTATCTTTTTAAAAAAGGATTATTTTTAAATTCTTAAAAAAAAAAACGTCCTGTGCGCGAAAAAAGAAAACTAAAGCGAACAAAATAATTTCATGATGTTAACGGTCTCGCCCAAGTATTTTATTTATTTCAGATTTTTTAGAATCATAGTAATTATTCATTCGTTAGCATTCTAGTTTGGCTTTGGACAAGTAATGCCTTTAAATTCATATCTGACAAAAGGGCGAATACTATTGTAAAGATGATCCTCTTGAAGCGTCAATATAAGCTTATGAATAGACAAGACTATTGACGATCCCTTGAGCTTACCAGATTAAGATTAGAAGCTTCAAAAAGGAAATGTTGGAATTCTTGGTTGTCATTTAGTTTACTTTCTTAGCATAAAAGCCTTTCCCAACGCTATGATATTGAATTTTTGTTCAGTCACACAATCTATACTTGTTTTTCAATATAGCTTTGAATTTGGTATGTATTAGTATTGGATCATAAAATTTATCCGATACTTTCAAATAACCATAATTGGATAATAACAATAAATAAATATGTGTGCGTTATAGATAAAAAGAAATCGGAGTTGTTAAAGCGCAAATCATTTAACGGAAAAAGTATTCCCTTTTTATTTTGTCAACCAATGTTTCGCCGATCCCAACTCCACAACGACCATCTCTCAACATTCAACTTTTTAATAGTATGTATGAAGAAAAGTCTATAACTCCAATTAGAGCAGGTCATCGGAAGAGGCTATTAAAAAGAATGGGTTCGGTATGTACAGTGTGTATATAAATAATATTTTATGAAGCCCACCATTTTTAATGGATATTTATAGTGGACCCTTGGTTCCATATGTAAAAAAAATTTTTTTTCCACTGTAATGAGAGACAGTTAATTATAAAATTATTATAAAAAAAAAATTCCACTATAACGAGATTTTATTATTATATACTATTTGGAGGAAAATGTATGAATGTCACGCGGAGGTTTACGCAATTTGGACTCATTCATATTTTTTTTTGGATAATGATTTAAAAAAATTCGGAACAATTGGACCACATTCAGGGGAAGTTCAATAAATAAAAAAACAACATTCAAATGAAGGACCAATATATCCATTTGATTTGATTCTTTTATTCATCGTTAAAATAACTCCAAAGCAAGTTGTAAAGAATTTTTCCAATACAAATACTGAATACAGCAGTTCACACACTCTCCATATAACGGTTCTTCCGTTTCAGCGAAAAAAATTCATTATTATTATAAAGAGAACCGTTATAGACAGTATATGTGGCATGCATTTCATCACAGACAACGTAAAACTGCATAAAATAAAGGTTTTAAACTAATAGAAATGAATTTTATTTAAAAGTTCAATATTATTATGTTGCACTTCTTTATTTATATCTTTAGAAATCTGAAATTAAATTATTAACTTTCATTATCGATTTTGATTGGTACTAAAAATAGAAGAAGAAGGTGAAGCAGTAGATAGTGAATTATTTATATCGGGTAAAAGGTTTTGATGATAAAGAATAAAAAAACCTGTATTGTCAACTTCTATTTTT